CCAGTTGGAGGTGGAGAGCGGTCCACATTGTGTGTTTTTGCAGCCGCATACCAATTGTCTACTTTGTTTGTGAGAGTAATACCTTTTGTCTTTTATATTTTTCAATAAATTGTTTAAAGTAAAGTAATGCGCTAGGCGTTTGTTCCCCTCTTTGTTTTTATGTTCTTGTTCAGAATGGGATGGACAGAAGTGCAAAGGCTGTGTCAGGTGAAGCATTTCCCATAAATATGTATTTCATTTACGTATTTAGCTGTTTGCACAATGTTCAGCTATCCTCTGCTTTCTAGTTATAGCCACATGTAATATGAAAATGCTAATCAATCTGGTTAAAGTAGAACTCCAGCCTTATTTTTTTTGGTTTGGTTAGTGTTGGGAAGGGTCAGAACCTCTGTCAGGTTTTAATTGCTGTCTGTTATGGACACCCACCCACACTAGTGTTGACAACTGACAATGGGATAAAGTCAGGAAAAATCTTAAATGTTACGTTTGTCACCAAACAAGAGATAATGATTTTACGGGACACCTGTTGGTATGACAACTATCAAAGATTGTTTTGCCCTCACTATGAGGAGTTCTGCTCACTTGCTGTGGAAGAAAGTGTCCCATTTGTGGACACAGATAGCAATACAATCCTGACAGCTCCTGTAACCCTTCCTCAGTTCAAAGCATTTGGTGGGGGTTCTACTTCAACCCTTTTACTGCCACCAGCATTAATATTATGGTGGCAGTAATAAGCAGAATGTTAACATTTCTCTGGATGCATGCTTATGACAACTGCCAACTCACTTATATGTGGACATGGCACCCCTTCTGCTGGACCCCCACCACCACAATGATCATCAGTGAACAGTTCTGAGCATGACTGTGTTGACTGGTAATCAGTAGATTGAGTGCTGTCTGTGTTTTGTCTGCTGGGACTGAGAGCAGGGAAGGCATAAAGAGTCTAATAAATTCCTGAAGCCTCCATTAAAAGTACCTCCCACTCAAAATATGGCACCACCATAGCTTGTGACTGGACACTGAAAGGAGAAGCAGCACAGTGATGAACTCATCTCTCTATCACTGCTCTCTCCTATCAACATGCTTTTTGTCAGCACAAAAACTGATTGGCTGCTTGTACTGCTTCCTCCTTTCACACTCTAGCCCTGTTGTACAGGGACTGCAAGAGGATGATATCAGGTCAGATTCCGATGCATGAAATTAAAAATACATTTAACAATGAAGTTATGATTATAGGGCGCCATTCATTTGTGTCTTTATATCTGTTTAGAGTTCAGCTTTACATTACTTTTTTACATTTTTGTGCTGAGGCTTGGTTCACGCCTACGGGTGCAAGATGCATGGAAAAGAAGCCCCTGACTTTTTTCTAAAGATGCACCTTGTGGTTTGGGCCACACAAAAACATGTGGATTTGAAGATGCGTGGAGGTGCCAATAATATCTAATGGCACCACTGTGCTTCTACGACATGGCAGCGTGTTTATCTGCGTGTTTCCAACATGCAGTATTGAGAACCTAGGGTTAGGGTATATTATTGGGAGTTAATGTATATCTATAGGAAGTGAAAAAGAAAATTCATAGGAGGTTAGATCCCCACTAGGACAGGTGTCCCCATTTGAAGATTTCCTCTCTATTCCTGTTCTGGTGGCATCCATAAAAGTTGGATTCTACCTCACCTTCTGTGGTCACCAAGGAGGGTGAATCTCCCCAGAAGGGACACAGGCAACATTAAAAACCTGACAAGGATTCTAACCCCCATCTATCTAACTGTGAATATGTCATGGCCAGGGATATACTTTACTAGACAAAAAGATGGGAGGGGAATGAAGTGCAACAACCATAGTGTACATTGTAAACTGTAATTTTAACAGAAAAATGTAAAAAAAAGCACTAACAAAGTTAAAAAGGAGCTCGGCATGACAGTCAGGTAGCCACTGGAACAGAGATCGGACAGGCAACCAGGATGCCTTGCCTTGGCCACTGGCAAGGGAGCAGAGATGGAATGGAAGCAGGGAACTGCTGTCACTGGAGAGACAGGACATGAAGCCACCTTATGTTGTTGGAGAATGCTGGAGCTGGAACAGGAACGCACTTCAAAGAAACCTGTCTGACAGGCTGAAGAAGAAGCAAGATTGCTTTGAAACGCATTCCTGTTCCAGCTCCAACATTCTCCAACAACAGAAGATGTCTTCATATCCTGAGCCCCATGTTCCATCCACAGCTTTGGCTCTCCACCTACATGGAAGAAAAATATATTTGAAATATGTTTAAAAAATATTCTTCCCAAATATACCCGTATTGATACTGTATATATAAATTTGAAATGCTACAAATACAAATCTACATTTTTGGAATGCATTTACAAATATATGTAAAAATATGTTAAAATGACTATTTTATATGTAAAAAAAAAAAATCTGAAGTATATATTTAAAAAAAATATATTTTTAAAAATATATATATTTTTATATATATTTCTTCAGATTTTTTTAACATATAAAAAAGTCATGTTAACATATATTTTTAAATGCATTCCAAAAATGTAGATTTGTATTTTTTTAAACATATTTTTCATATATATTTTGTAATAAAAACACATTGAAACATACAGTGTACATATATATATGTATGTATGTGTGTATGCAGTGGTGCATTTAGGTTTTGTGCTGCCCTAAGCAACACAAAAATTGGCTTCAACCCCCCCCCACACACACACACACAACATTGACCAACAACACCCCAGCCCCCCCCCCCCCCCCCACCAGCTCCGGACACCTCTGGGAACAAGAGTCAGGCTCTGCATACACCATCAAGCAGCCTGCAGCCTCTCTCAGATCCCACCTGGCCCCCCTGCTGCGTGTGCCTCTTTTTCCATTCCTTCTTTCAGGGGACAGTGCTGCCACTCTGAAAAATGCTGCTGCCCCCCAGAAAAATGCCGACCTAGGCAACTGCCTTGTTTGCCTTGTGGTAAATACACCCCTTATTGTATGTATGTGTGTATGTGAATATATTTTGAAATATAGCCAATATTTCAGCATTTCAAATATATGTCAATATATTTGGGAAGAATATTTTTAACATACAGTCAGGTCCATAAATATTGGGACATCGACACAATTCTAACATGTTTGGATCTATACACCACCACAATGGATTTGAAATGAAACAAACATGATGTGCTTTAACTGCAGACTGTCAACTTTAATTTGAGGGTATTTACATCCAAATCAGGTGAACGGTGTAGGAATTACAACAGTTTGCATATGTGCCTCCCACTTGTTAAGGGACCAAAAGTAATGGGACAGAATAATAATCATAAATCAAACTTTCACTTTTTATACTTGGTTGCAAATCCTTTGCAGTCAATTACAGCCTGAAGTCTGGAACGCATAGACATCACCAGACGCTGGGTTTCATCCCTGGTGATGCTCTGCCAGGCATCTACTGCAATTGTCTTCAGTTCCTGCTTGTTCTTGGGGCATTTTCCCTTCAGTTTTGTCTTCAGTAAGTGAAATGCATGCTCAATCGGATTCAGGTCAGGTGATTGACTTGGCCATTGCATAACATTCCACTTCTTTCTCTTAAAAAACTCTTTGGTTGCTTTAGCAGTATGCTTTGGGTCATTGTCCATCTGCACTGTGAAGCAGCGTCCAATGAGTTCTGAAGCATTTGGCTGAATATGAGCAGATAATATTGCCCGAAACACTTCAGAATTCATCCTGCTGCTTTTGTCAGCAGTCACGTCATCAATAAATACAAGAGAACCAGTTCCATTGGCAGCCATACATGCCTACACCATGACACTACCACCACCATGCTTCACTGATGAGGTGGTATGCTTAGGATCATGAGAAGTTCCTTTCCTTCTCCATACTCTTCTCTTCCCATCACTCTGGTACAAGTTGATCTTGGTCTCATCTCTCCATAGGATGTTGTTCTAGAACTGTGAAGGATTTTTAGATGTCGTTTGGCAAACTCTAATCTGGCCTTCCTGTTTTTGAGGCTCACCAATGGTTTACATCTTGTGGTGAACCCTCTGTATTCACTCTGGTGAAGTCTTCTCTTGATTGTTGACTTTGACACACATACACCTAACTCCTGGAGAGTGTTCTTGATCTGGCCAACTGTTGTGAAGGGTGTTTTCTTCACCAGGGAAAGAATTCTTCGGTCATCCACCACAGTTGTTTTTCCATGGTCTTACGGGTCTTTTGGTGTTGCTGAGTTCACCGGTGCGTTCCTTCTTTTTAAGAATGTTCCAAACAGTTGTTTTGGCCACGCCTAATGTTTTTGCTATCTCTCTGATGGGTTTGTTTTGTTTTTTTCAGCCTAGTGATGGCTTGCTTCACTGATAGTGACAGCTCTTTGAAACTCATCTTGAGAGTTGACAGCAACAGATTCCAAATGCAAATAGCACACTTGAAATGAACTCTGGACCTTTTACCTGCTCATTGTAATTGGGATAATGAGGAAATAACACACACCTGGCCATGGAACAGCTGAGTAAACAATTGTCCCATTACTTTTGGTCCCTTAACAAGTGGGAGGCACATATGCAAACTGTTGTAATTCCTACACCGTTCACCTGATTTGGATGTAAATACCCTCAAATTAAAGCTGACAGTCTGCAGTTAAAGCACATCTTGTTTGTTTCATTTAAAATCCATTGTGGTGGTGTATAGAGCCAAAAATGTTAGAATTGTGTCCCAATATTTATGGACCTGACTGTATATTTCAAATATATTTTTCTTCCATATGGGCAGTGATAGCAGTTCCCTGCTTCCATTCTGTCTCTGCTCCCTTGCTGGTGCAATGCATGGCGAAGAGGCAAACAAGGACCTACAGTGCCTACACACACTTCAATAACTGATTGGTTTCTTTTCTGATCAATCTCCTCCAATAGGAATAATCAATCTATAGTAGACCACCTATTCAATCAATATGACACTCACAAGGGAAGTGGATTTGGATCAATAGTTAAGATCAGGGGCGGGCTGACAACACATGGGGCCCCCGGGCAATAGGGGATCATGGGGCCCCTGTGTATTTGCCCAAACTTAAAAAAGCCTATGAAAAAGGTACCAGGGGCATCCCATGGGGCCCCATACTGACCCTGGGCCCTCGGGCAGTGCCCGAGTTTCCAAATGGTCAGTCCGCCCCTGGTTAAGATACAATCACAACTTACAATTGTACGTTTTCAGTTGCACATCTGTTTTTTTTTACTATGTATTCACATAATCTGATCAAATGAAATACAATGGTATTCATGAAGAAAGTCTCTCAGTGCCCTGGCCAGTCAACTCAGTTTAATCAAATCTGATCGAAATTAAGTCTAAATTGATTAGAAAGGAAAAGTATGGATATTTGGCTTTTGTGAATTCAATCATTTTGATCAAACTGCACATCGATCAGATAAAAAAATGAAGCATGTGTGGTCACCATAAGCGTGACAGGAAGTGAAAACAATACAATTCATAATCTTGCTTTTGGTTGAGCTTTATTAGTATTATAATTCTATTATTATTCACTGCTGTCAAATCAATATCAGCTGCTGGTGACCACATGGATAGTGCTTCTTTTGAATGATCTGGCTTTTATTTGGGTCTTTAGTTAAAGGAAAACAGCATGTTCATACTTGGCTGATGTATTCATCACATTTGCCCTACCCTATTTTGACCCCCCATCCCCCTCCAAAAAAACCCAAAACACTCATACTGTGCGACATGAATCTAAATTGACCACAGCAGCTCTTTTATTAAAGCACTAATTCCATGTACAGTGATAACAAAATTGCCATACAACATTACAACCAGGGGCGGACTGACAACTCATGGGGCCCCCGGGTAATAGGGGATCATGGGGCCCCTGTGTCCTTGCCCAAACTCAAAAAAGCCTATGAAAAAGGTACCAGGGGCATCTCATGGGGCCCCCTACTGACCCCGGGCCCTCAGGCAGTGCCTGAGTTTCCAAATGGTCAGTCCGCCCCTGATTATAACTATTATTAGTAAGTATTCCCAGGAAGGAGTCTTTGGTTGTCCCATATCCTAAAGGCCTGACTAAGCTCCACAGTTGCCCCCAGTCACACTGAATCATCCCAAGGACAGTTGCCAGATAGAGCATTTTTACTCATTCCAAGGGACCAAGCCCTTCATAAAATAGTCAACACCCAAAAGCAGAAGCACCATACCACCGGATGGGCCCCCTATTGTTACCACTCTGCTCATACACAGAGTATAAAAGACCCCCTAACCTGCCAAGCTGCCATGACAGCTCTCTTGCAATCAGAACCTATTTTTTGCTGTAATTAAAAAAGTGATGGAGGATGGGACAACCTCTCTGTCCATTGGCCTTTCCATAAAGACTGCACAGCAGTCCTACAATTCCTACCCCTGCAGTTCCTGCTTTCCTTCCAAGGAAAAGAAATATAATCTCCAAACATGGAAAGGTTTCTTCACAGTGCAAGCTGTGAAAATGTGGAATAGACTCCCTCAAGAGTTGGTTCTGGCCAGCTCAGTGGATTGCTTTAAAAAAAGTCTGGATTATTTCTTATATACACAGAATATAACTGGATACTAACATTTATAGGTAAAGTTGATCCGGGGAATATCCGGTTGCCTCTCGGGGGATCAGGAAAGAATATTTTCCCAGCAGGAGCAAATTGGATCATGCTTTGCTGGGGGGGGGGGGGGTTGCCTTCCTCTGGATCAACTGTAGGTATAGGATTTTAACTTTTTTTTTTTTTTATGGTTGAACTGGATGGACTTTTGCCTTTTTTCAGCCAGACTAACTATGCAACTATGTAACCCTTGGAAGCCAGTTAGGAAAGACTTGAATATCTTCTCATTATCTCCTTGCCTCTCCTGGGTCTATTATTCTGCTTGGTAATGCAACCCCTCCATTAGATTTATTCCTCCACATCGGACTTCCTATGACTTTATTCAGCCATCTTATTACTGGTCATCCTCATCTTTTCTACAATGTCTTGTAAATCATACAAGCCTATTCAGCGCTCAGAACATTGATGGGATATACAGCGTACCTCGGTTTACAAACTCCTCGGTTAATGTAATTTTTGGTTTAGGAATGAAAATCCATTGAAAATAATGGCTCGGTTTATGATTTTTTTTTCACATGACGAACGGATTAATTGCATTTACTAATTTTTTTCGCAATACGAATGGATTAATTGCATTTACAATTTTTTTTCAATCATGTCCCTTTATGCCTTTAAAGTGCACTGTATAAAGAGTTTTGAACAGATAAAACTTTTTTTGACTTTTTTCTGACCTCCGGAACGATTTAATTGGTTTTCAGTGCATTTGCAAATTAATGTTTAAGCATGTTCCTGTACAGTATTTTTGCCTTTAAAGTGTACTTTATAAAGAGTTTTGAACAGATAAAAGACTTTTTTTTTTACTTTTTTCTGACCTCCGGAACGGATTAATTGGTTTTCAATGCATTCCTATGGGAAACCATGTTTCGGTTTATGAATTTTTCACAATATGAAAAGTCCCATAGAATGAATGAAATTCGTAAACTGAGGTATGCCTGTAGTCTCAGCAAGTCCATAGGTGGTGAATCAATTATGGAAATCCTTCAAGAACACACATGCAATGCCCGGCAGCTCTTCGCTCAAAGCAGGGTAAACTCACAGACATGTGAAACAGAAAGGCAGCAGAGCGCCAGATTAGCATGTGTAAACAACAAATGATACTTTAATGTAGCTCACTCACATTTAAAAACACTATAAAGTGCTCCAGTGGTTAGGACAGGGTATGCAGATCACAGCTCTCAGATGGTGGAATCAGCAGCGGCTGCAAGGCTAGAGGGAGATCCACTCATTGACTACTTTGTCAAGCATCGCTTGGGAAGCAGTGCTTGATAAAGGAGACTGGGCCTTGGAAACAAACACACTACCATCCCCCCCAGACTGACAATGCTGCTACTGTGTCCTGGCTCATTCCTCTGCTGTGGTGTTTCACTAATACAGAGGTGTATTACTTGTCAGGGCGAAAACAGAGGGAGAAGAAAATAAAACCCATGCAGCCACCACATCTAATGATTGGTAAGCTGCAATATAAAACATTTTTGGTTTTGTGTTTTTTACCTGGTTAGCTAGTCAAGCCCAATGGCAGTGACCAGTCCTGGAAGTCCCTTGTGACTGGGAGTGAAAGTATTTGCAGTGGATTTGTAGACAACATTTAAAACATGATAGTTGTGACCAGGGGCGGACTGACCATTTGGAAACTCGGGCACTGCCTGAGGGCCCAGGGTCAGTAGGGGGCCCCATGAGATGCCCCTGGTACCTTTTTCATAGGCTTTTTTGAGTTTGGGCAAGGACACAGGGGCCCCATGATCCCCTATTGCCCGGGGCCCCCCATGAATTGTCAGTCCGCCCCTGGTTGTGACCCTTCAAGACCTTACAAAACTGGTGCTGACCATAACTCTCTATGCTCCATATCTATTCTCCCGTGATGTGCCACCCATGTTATTCCCCATTTTGCTGTGCTGTTTTAAATATTTCCACCATATGGTTTCACCAAAAAAAAAAATCAGCTCCAAAAGCTAGTAATAACAACCTCTTCTACTGCTTGATTGAGCAGATCTATGGTTCACTTTATGGTGGCCTGTGTACTGCAGTTAGGATCCTATGTAAGAAGTGAATACATTGGATGTGCTGGATTACAATGATGATATTGTTACTTTATTGTAACAGTGATAACAGTGATAAAAAAAAAGCATACTAAGACAATTCTCATCCACTTTGAGGGAGATTTATTATTACCCTGGCCATAAATCCATATAACCTGAGTTTTCTATGTATTTAAGGTGCTATGTCAATTTGCTGATGACCATGTGTAAATGATAGATATGTATTGTGTATTTACACTGTTTTGTATATATTTACATATGCTGTAGTGAATGGGATCACCAGCGCAGACAGGTAATTTCCCTTTACCGTATCCCCCTTACCCTCCGTTCACATCAAGCCCGCCTTTGAAATCATGCGACCCACAGTGAAGTTGCACAATTTCAAAGTCCGGGGACCCATCGATTTCAGGTGCAAATTGCAAGACATCTGATACAGATGTCTATGCAAAGTGCACCAAAAGTAATGCATGTACTACTTTTGAAATCAGTGCGGCTCCAACCAAGTCCAGTGTGAACCAGGGCTAAGCCCTGATTCATACCACTGCAATTTCATGTGTGATTTGGGAATTGAAATCGTACCTGAAATCGGATCTAATGAATGTGAATGTGAGTGTCTTAAGAATTTGCTGCAGCGTGATTTCAAAAGTAGTTCTTGTATTACGTTTTTCTGCAGTTTGTTGCGATTTCACATACATAGACTACAATAGAAATCGCACTGCAAAACGCAATGGAAAACGCAAGAAATCAATGGCAAATCTTCACAAGTTGCAAACAAATCTTCAGAAAACGTGGTGAAATCGCAAACAAAACGCACAATTTTTAATCTCATTAGTGTGAACCAAGCCTTACTGTTTGTTTCAATGAAAATGAACCCCAACAAAAAAAGCATCCAAGAGGTGCTGGGACTTTGATGTGAGTTCATACAAAGTAGTGACAGACAGGGCTACCCTCCAGTGGGGACCCAGCTGGTCAGGGAAGTGGATAAGGGGGTATCACCAGTCCTCCTGTACAGGGCCCAGGCCAGCAGGGGGGCCCAAGCAGCTGTGTGAATTGGATATGGGTAGGGAGGGTGATCGGCACGATGAGGCTGCAATTACTGGAACCGATCCCCTGTATAGCTCTCTCTGCAGCAGCTGTAAACTGTCTTCACCCTGCTGCAGAGAGAGCCATACATGGGATTGTTCCAGTAATTGCCCCCTGTCACACCTTATCACCCTCCCTGTGCACCATATGTTTTCCCCATGCTGGTCAATCCCCTGTGTATAAATTAAAGTTACGTGCCCGCACACCCCGCAGTGCTGCCAGCTATCCTCCCCTCCTTACTACTAGCATCTGCAAGCACACAATAGGATCCTTCAGGATGGAGAGTGGGGGAAGGGTCTGGTAAATATGTCACATTTTACCAGCCACTTTCTTTTCCTGGATGACCACAATGAGTGATTGGTACCAATCACTCACTGTGTTCATTCATAACTGAAGCATAGTAAACTGTGTTTTATTTTGGGGGGGGGGGCTGTCAGGTTGGCTGTATGAGGCCCTGTGGTTTCTAACAGAAGCCCTGCAGAAGGTTACCAGTAAAATAAACATGCACTAATAGAAGGAGCACCAAACCAAATTATAGGAATCCAATTGAATTATTGGTGTGCACCATAAAAAAAAAAATCAACACATTTCGGGGCCAGACACATGCTGGATGTTTTTAGTGCTAACCAATATATCATTTGGACTCTTTTATCATTTGGTCTGATGGTCTTTCCATTGGTCCACGTTTTCCATTAAATTAGCTACCAGGACAAATTGATAGGCGACTCTATCCAACTTAGGCACAGATCGTGGGGACTAACTCTCTCCTGTCCTTTCCAAGAGAAAAAAAAGTTTTACAGTTGCATATACTTTAATCTGCAGCGATGTGTTGTAATGTATTGTTCAGAGGGGTAATGAGTATTCATGGAGTATGTTCTACAAATAACTTGTCACAATAAATGTTTACTCCCTGTATGTAAGTCATATGTGTCATGCATTGTCCGAGTGTCACCTAGTGGTGTATTCTGTATATCCAGTATCAGCTGTAATATTACATTTTGGTCACATAGCCATACTCTGTAAAATAAACCATGAGTGATGGTAAAGTGACTTATTCAGGTCTATTGTTTCCTGTAACATGATTATATATTTCCACATTGTGACATGCGTCTTGTTTGTTCTAACGTGAATTATCATGATGAAATAAACTTTTTTTTAGTTACCGTAGTTTGTGAGTCAGTGCGTTCAGTCAGTGATACTCCCTCCGGTCTGCTGTCTCCTCCCTAATCCATGGCTTGCTCTGCTTGTCTGGTGAGAGCCTGAGCCAAGGATAGATGGCAGAAACTTGGGCAGAGCTGCTAATTCAGTGGAAGGCAGGTGCAGGGGGCAACTACTAATCATGGGGCCCCATATCAAAATTTGAATGGGCCCCCGGGTAACTCTGGAATAGCTGGCAATGTCAACTGTGACAATATGTGTCAGCAATCTAAACATAACGCATGCCTAAATCAAGGATAGTAAAGAGTAAAGCTGCCAGTATTGTATGACTCAAAAAAAGGTAAAAAACTTGTGCTACTCCCCAGACAATACAATATGTGAATAAATGTGTGAAAAAAATATAAATTCTGAAACAGTGAACTCCTGCTACTCTTTCCCTGAAAACCAGAAAATACAAAACATAAAAAAAGTGCGCTGTACACTAAAAAATCATAAACAATAATAAATCAAATAAATACTGCTATATAAAAAAATGTGTATAAATTACCGTATTTTTCGCTCTATAAGACACTTTTTCTCCCCCCAAAACTGGGGAAAATGTCTGTGCGTCTTATGGAGCGAATATAGTGTGGCTGGCCCGTTATCCCCGCCGCCACAGCCGTATTAGAAGCTGGCCTACTGTGAAGAAGAACCCGCTCCTCCATCCTACCTGTTCCTCAGTCCAGCGGTGTTCTGCTTCCATCGGCTGTCTCTCCTCTCCCTCGCGCCAGCATCTTCAGTGTGTGCACCTGGCTGTGATAACTTGCAGCTTCACAGCCGGGTGCCCACTGCGCATGCGCGAGAAGCGCTGCACTTTGTGAATGACCCCTTAGTCTTCTGGGACCTGTCATGTGTCCCATAAGACTACAGGGAGGGAAGGGGGGAGGACATCTCTGCGGAAGTGGGAGAGGATACCAGTCTCTGGTCATCTCCTGTACTATGTCTGCAGTCTCTGGTCATCTCCTGTACTATGTCCGCAGTCTCTGGTCATCTCCTGTACTATGTCTGCAGTCTCTGGTCATCTCCTGTACTATGTACGCAGTCTCTGATCATCTCCTGTACTATTTCTGCAGTCTCTGGTCATCTCCTGGAAATCCTCCAACGGAAAGTGCATAGGTGTCCCATAAATGCTTGACACAAAAGAAAAAAATCAGCCTCTTACCAAACACTTTGATCTTAAATCAGAGATCAAAGGAGCAGAAGGTGTTTAGATCCCACACTAACACCCTAGTTAGCCATATCAAGGAGATGAATAGGAGATGAATGGACAACTGTAGGTTCACTTGAATCCATCACATCATGCAAGGAAAAGGTTTAAAACAGAAGAAGAAAACTTCATACTGCAACCCAATAAACCACAGTCTCTGGTCATCTCCTGTACTATGTCCGCAGTCTCTGGTCATCTCCTGTACTATTTCCGCAGTCTCTGGTCATCTTCTGTAGTATGTCCGCAGTCTCTAGTCATCTCCTGCACCATGTCTGCAGTCTCTGGTCATCTCCTGTACTATGTCCGCAGTCTCTGGTCATCTCCTGTAGTATGTCCGCAGTCTCTGTCATCTCCTGTACTATGTCCGCAGTCTCTGGTCATCTCCTGTACTGTGTCCGCAGTCTCTGGTCATCTCCTGTACTATGTCCGCAGTCTCTGGTCATCTCCTATGTACGCAGTGTCATCTCCTGTAGTGTCCGCAGTCTCTGGTCATCTCCTGTACTATGTCCGCAGTCTCTGGTCATCTCCTGTAGTGTGTCCGCAGTCTCTGGTCATCTCCTGTACTATTCCGCAGTCTCTGGTCATCTCCTGTAGTATGTCCGCAGTCTCTAGTCATCTCCTGTACCATGTCCGCAGTCTCTGGTCATCTCCTGTACTATGTCCGCAGTCTCTAGTCATCTCCTGTACTATGTCCGCAGTCTCTGGTCATCTCCTGTACTATGTCCGCAGTCTCTAGTCATCTCCTGTACTATGTCCGCAGTCTCTGGTCATCTCCTGTACTATGTCCGCAGTCTCTGGTCATCTCCTGTACTATGTCCGCAGTCTCTGGTCATCTCCTGTAGTATGTCCGCAGTCTCTGGTCATCTCCTGTACTGTGTCCGCAGTCTCTGTCATCTCCTGTACTATGTCCGCAGTCTCTGGTCATCTCCTGTACTATGTCCACAGTCTCTGGTCATCTCCTGTACTGTGTCCGCAGTCTCTGGTCATCTCCTGTAGTATGTCCACAGTCTCTGGTCATTCCCTGTACTATGTCCGCAGTCTCTGGTCATCTCCTATAGTATGTCCGCAGTCTCTGGTCATCTCCTGTACTATGTCCGCAGTCTCTGGTCATCTCCTGTACTGTGTCCGCAGTCTCTGTTCATCTCCTGTACTATGTCCGCAGTCTCTGGTCATCTCCTGTACTATGTCCACAGTCTCTGGTCATCTCCTGTACTGTGTCCGCAGTCTCTGGTCATCTCCTGTACTATGTCCACAGTCTCTGGTCATTCCCTGTACTGTGTCCACAGTCTCTGGTCATCTCCTATAGTATGTCCGCAGTCTCTGGTCATGTACTGTAGTATGTGTCCGCAGTCTCTGGTCATCTCCTGTACTATGTCCGCAGTCTCTGGTCATCTCCTGTACTGTGTCCGCAGTCTCTGGTCATCTCCTGTACTGTGTCTGCAGTCTCTGGTCATCTCCTGTACTATGTCCGCAGTCTCTGGTCATCTCCTGTACTGTGTCTGCAGTCTCTGTTCATCTCCTGTACTATGTCCGCAGTCTCTGCTCATTTCCTGCACTGTGTCTGCAGTCCATTGGTTCAGAATGTTTTTCCTTGTTTTCTCTAAAATTTAGGTGCTTCTTATGGTCAAGTGCGTCTTATGGAGCGAAAAATACATTAATTGAAATGATATAAGTCCTCATTCATATGTTAAATAATTAAAAGTCCCAAAATCTAATAACACAGTGTTGTGTGCTAAAGAAATCCTCCAAAGGAAAGTGCATAGGTGTCCATAAATGCTTGACACAAAAGAAAAAAATCAGCCTCTTACCAAACACTTTGATCTTAAATCAGAGATCAAAGGAGCAGAAGGTGTTTAGATCCCACACTAACACCCTAGTTAGCCATATCAAGGAGATGAATAGGAGATGAATGGACAACTGTAGGTTCACTTGAATCCATCACATCATGCAAGGAAAGGTTTAAAACAGAAGAAGAAAACTTCATACTGCAACCCAATAAACCAGCAAAGAATTTATTAAAGTATTGCACTTACATAGATAAGGTGCATAAAAGCAGTGTAAACATTTAAAATTCCTGCGGTGTCAGACCACCGGCCGGAACGACGTGACGTCACAGAAAGCTCCGCCCGACACGCGGTTCTCCAAAAATGGCGTCCTCTGGGATTGGAGAACAGTGTCTGGTAAGAGGCTGATTTTTTTCTTTTATGTCAAACATTTGCAGACACCTATGCACTTACCGTTGGAGGATTTTTTTGGCACACAGCACTGTGTTATTGGATTTTGGGAATATTTAATTATTCAATATATGAATGTGGGCTTATATCATTTCAATTAATTTATGCACATTTTTTATGTAGCAGTATTCATTTGATTTATTATGCTTAGGATAAAAGTTCTAATTGTAGTAGCAATAACAACAACAACCATAAGGATATTTTATATTAAGAATTATTAATATAATTAAGGATATATTAAAAATTACTCTATCCCTAATAAAAACTTCTTTAAACTCTTGATTCTCAAAACAATTTTGTTGAAATGCTAAGCTCAGCTGTCCTATAAAGTGTTAGCAGAGAAACTCTGATTTTTCACTACATTAGGCACACAGGGCTAACTCAAATCTATAGGAGAAGTTTGAGAACAATAAATCTACTAGATAAAGGGGTGGCAAGTGCAGCCTTGACATCACCTAAGAGCTCCCTCACACTTATACCCTCTGAAGAGTAAGCCCCAGCAGAGGAGGAAAGTGTGCACTGAAAATGCGTTGTTTTTGAATCAGGTAGAGCATTGCTCCTCTGATGCTGAGGGTGAACACCCATCATATGTCCTGTCTTAGCACCAAGGCAGGATGGGGAATAAAAACAACATAATAAGGCCTACTGGAACAGAAATGACACTAATCAATTTATTTTAAAGCTGCGCAGATTTTTTTCATCTACTGGGTGGGTCACCTGTTCAGACAAAACGTGAACTTAAAGTGTTACTAAACCCACAACAGTACAATTAGCCTGTATATGCAATAAAACATGCTTGTTATACTCACTTTGGAAGGGGTTAATCCTCTGAATTGTGTAAAAAGGCTGTTTGAGCCTGACTTCTCTGATCCTCCCCTTCTTCCTGTGTCCCCCTCTTATCTCCTGATAAGACATATCGTGTGGAGACACTCTGCACATGCTCAGTTTGGTGTGTATTGCTAGAGAGTTTTTTTTTAATCTTGGGAGAGTGCATGTGATCAGCACAGGGCCAATTGGGGTTCTGCATCCTCCTAGAACAAAATGAAAACTCCCCCTACAATCTTTAGCATGTGCTCGGCTGGACACTGATAGAAGTCACAAGACTGCTCTAATTGCTGATGAGAAAAGGTATTTAGCAGTTTATATTTCCTAAAATTATTGCATTTCCATGTTGTGTGCACTATGGGAGACCAAGATATAGTGAATGCAGGGTCCGGGGTTTAGTAACACTTTAACCTTTAATACTACATGACATATGTATTAAGAACACAAGTAATCAGGTCCACCAGTTTTCTGATATAACCCACCAAATTGTGGTAACACTGGGGTGGGGGTTTTAGGGGTACGGTTAAATTAAACCTGAGCCTTTGCGTCTATGGGTCAAGAATGTGTAAGGTCAGGCATACATAAGAGACAGCGTACAGAGATCAGGAATACATAACATAAAGAATATAGAGGTCAAGAGGAAGTAACAGAGAGGTCAGGAGTAAATAACGCACAGAAAATAGAGTTCAGGAGTAAATAACACACAGAACATAAAGGTCAGGAGTAAGTAACGCACAGAACATAGAAGTCAGGAGTAAATAAAACATAGAATATAGATATTAGGAGTGTGTAGCACACCGAGGTCAGGAGTAAATAACACAAAGAATATAGAGGTCAGGAGGAAGTAACATAGAGAGGTCAGGAGTAAATAACGCACAGAACATAGAGGTCAGGAATAAATAACATAGAATATAGATGTCAGGAGTGAGTAACACACAGAATATAGAGGTCAGGAGTAAATAGCACAGAATATAGAGGTCAGGAGGAAGTAACATAGAGAGGTCAGGAGTAAATAACACATAGAATATAGAGGTCAGGAGTAAATAACACAGAATATAGAGGTCAGGAGTAAATAACACAGAACATAAAGGTTAGGAGTAAATAACACATAGAATATAGAGGTCAGGAGTGAGTAACACACAGAACATAGAGGTCAGGAGTAAATAGCACACAAAACATAGAGGTCAGGAGTAAATAACACACAGAAAATAGAGGTCAGGAGTAAATAAAGAATATAGAATATAGAGGTCAGGAGTAAATAACACACAAAACAGAGGTCAGGAGTAAATACCCACACAAAACATAGAGGTCAGGGTAGAGTAAATAACGCACAGAACACAAAGGTCAGGAGTAAATAACACACAAAACATAGAGGTCAGGAATAAATAACATAGAATATAGATGTCAGGAGTGAGTAACACACAGAGGTCAGGAGTAAATAACAAATAGAATATAGAGGTCAGGAGTAAATAGCACACAAAAAATAGAGATCGGGAGTAAATAAAGAATATAGAATATAAAGGTCAGGAGTGAGTAACACACAGAGGTCAGGAGTAAATAACACACAAAACAGAGGTCAGGAGTAAATAACACACAAAACATAGAGGTCAGGAGTAAATAAGACACAGAACACAGAGGTCAGGAGTAAATAACACATAGAATATAGAGGTCAGAAGTGAGTAATGCACAGAACATAAAGGTCAGGAGTAAATAACACACAGAACATAGAGGTCAGGAATAAATAACATAGAATATAGATGTCAGGAGTGAGTAACACACAGAATATAGAGGTCAGGAGTAAATAACACAGAATATAGAGGTCAGGAGTAAATAACACACAGAACATAGAGGTCAGGAATAAATAACATAGAATATAGATGTCAGGAGTGAGTAACACACAAAATATAGAGGTCAGGAGTAAATAACACAGAATATAGAGGTCAGGAGTAAATACCACACAGAACATGGAGGTCAGGAATAAATAACACACAGAACATAGAGGTCAGGAGTAAATAACACACAGAACATAGAGGTCAGGAGTAAGTAACACACAGAACATAGAGGTCAGGAGTAAATAACACACAGAACATAGAGGTCAGGAGTAAGTAACACGCAGATGTCAGGAGTAAGTGACACGTAGAGATCAGGATTCTGTCCACAGCAGAGGTACTCGAAGACCTGGCACTCCTGCACTGTGCACTGATGCAGAACAGATTCTCAGGGACTCACCAATGTACATTGGCACATGTATAGGCGCTGGTGTACAGTCAGACGCAGGGATGTGTGCTGGAACATGCATGCACACTGGAACACGAATGTGTGCTAGTGCACAGTTATGCACGCCAACAGCCCAGTTTGGCGCCAGTTGGCCTTTATAAGGAAGCCAATCACTCTCTCCAATTGTTGGTTGATCTCTGGCTCCCCAGTACCTTGTCCTGTGATCCTTTGCTATTGTGACCTCCTGTTACTGACTCGGCTTGTTCCTGGACCTGTCATCTCCGCCCGTCTCCTGACCTAACCCTGCTTGGCTAACAGATCTTCTCACTTGCTTTCCTGAGCTGTTGGGGCAGGGATGGTAAAACACATCTTAACTATCACTCCCCCCAAATGAACCCTTACTGTTCTGAGCCCCCTATAAGACTGCTTTCACACTGATGTGCCACGGTTTACCTGCACTGTTGATGCAGTGCAGTACATCTGCGACTACAGTCTGAAGGAAAGAAAGGCAAGGGGAGACATGATGAGAAACCTTTCAATACATCAAGGGAGTGAACAAGGTCCAGGAGGGCAGTATTTTCAACATGAAACCAAAATCAAGAACACGGGAACATGACCTGAAGCTAACTGGAGGAAAGTTCAAAACTAATCTCAGTATGTACTCTTTTACTAAAAGAGTAGTTGATGCTTGGAATAAACTTCCAGCAGAGGTGGTGAGGCAGTCAGCAGTAAAAAGCTTCAAACATGCTTGGGACGAGCATAGATCTATACTTGGTCTTTTTCTGCAGTCACTTTTCTACGTTTCAACGGCTTTCCTGGGTTAGCTGCTCTATGCCATAGACTTCTATTATATCCTGCAGGAGTGGGGCAGTTTCTGAAAGCGCATTAAAAAGTGTGAAAAACCCGCAGGATATCCCATATGAAAGAAAAATATATTTGAAATATATATTTAAAAATATTCTCTTATATACTACAGCTTTGGCCATACAGTATTCAATATATTTCAATAAATAAATATATATATATATACTGTATCTTGAAATGCATTTTTATTACAAAATATATGACAAATATATTTTTAAAAATACATCTCAAATATACTGTATGTCTTTACAAATACAAATCTACATTTTTGGAATGCATTTACAAATATATGGAAAATATATGTTAAAATGACTTTTTATCTGTTGAAAAAAAAATTTGAAGAATATATTTTAAAAATATATATTTTAACCATTTCCCTCCCAGCCTATGGCCGAATGGCGGCCGGCAAAAACCCTCACCTTTCCGGGTGGATGCCATATGGCTTCCTTTCGGGCATGCGCTCCTGCAGAGCCACGCAGTGGCGCGATCTGTCACTGGCTGTGTGCCTCGGACACAGCCGATGACAGATCTGAGTACCGACCCCGTTGCCGGTACCATGTGACCTGCTGTGACCAATCACAGCAGGTCACATGACAGTTGTATACAATGGATGGCTTCATCCATGCCATCCATTGTATACTAGTGTGTCTAGCTGTGACTGGTCACAGCGATCACATGCACAAGCTGGGCCAATCACAGCCCAGCTGTGTTACGTGATTAGCCATGGCCAAATCACAGCTAAGCACAATAAAAAAAAAAAACAAACAAAAAAAAACCCTGAATGAATCGATGTCATTCAGGTAAATGCTTGCTTATAGCACAGTAATTTTTGCTATAAGCAAATTGTGTAAAAAAAAAAAAACATACTGATCACTTCCCCAAAGTAGTACAATGTTACTATGGTAACATTGTACTACTTTGGTTATAGTGAAATATGAAAAAAAATCTTAAAAAAAAGAAATCAAAAATAATAAAAAATTAAAAATAATAAAAAAATGTAAAAAAATTATATATATTTTTTTTTCATACTGTCACCAATCATTGTCCCTGATCACCGCCATGCCAGTTATATGATGATGCTGTACTGCACTGGTGACAGTATGTAAAAAAAAATAGTGAAAATAATATTTTAAATTTTTTCATTTTCCGAAAAATTATGATGAAAAAAATGCAACTTCAAAAAACTTGCCATGCCTCTTATGAAGTACGTCAGACTGTCTACTTTGCAAAAAGGCATCATTTGGGGGATATCTGTACTGTTCTGACATTCTTGGACCTCAAGAAATTAGATTGGCTGTCAGTACTTCAGGATTGATCAATATTCAGATATATCCCATAGTTTGTGAACTCTATAACTTTCCTACAAACTAAAAAATACATCCTAATTTGGGTTATTTTCACCAAAGACATGTAGCAGAATACATCTTGGCCTAAATTTATGAAGAACAATTATTTATTTGCAAACTTTTATAACAGAAACAAAGAAAAACGTTTTTTTTTTTTCAAAATTTTCAGTCTTTTTTTGTTAATTTAGCAAAAAATAAAAACCCCAGTGGTGATTAAATACCAACAAAAGAAAGCTCTAGTTGTGTGAAGAAAATGATAAAATTTTAGTTTGGGTACAATGTTGTATGACCGCGCAATTGTCATTCAAAATGTGAGAGCGCTGAAACCTGAAAAATGACCTGGGCAGGAAGGGGGTAAAAGTACCTTTTATTGAAGAGTTAAAATATATTTTTCATATATTTTGTAATATATAAAAAACGCATTTCAACATAAAGTGTGTGTGTATGTGTATAAATATATATATATATTGAAATATATTTTGAAATATATTGAATATGGGCAAAATTGTAGTATTTCAAGTATATGTCAATATATTTGGGAAGAATATATTTAATATATATTTTTCTTCCATGTGGGATAATAGAAGTCTATGGCTAAGTGCAGCAAACCCACAGGAAAGCTGCAGGTACACTGCACTGCAGCCACGGTGTGGGGAAACCGCAGCGCATCAGTGTGAAAGCAGCCCTATACTACTATGCCCAGTGTATTGCTTTACATTGACCTGAAGATCTCTTCTTTCCT